GTATTTAATGATCTCTACAGCTTGTAGAACACTATAGCAGGTGTGTGGGAAATGACACACTAACACACAGTTCCTGTCTTCTCAGTAGGTTAAAATTCTCATTGGGAGGCATCTAAACAACTAAATATAAAATCAATCAAAGATAAATTCTGTATTGATGGTTCTTTAAATCTTAGGCCTTAAATTTCAAGATTAGAGATTGTACAGGACTGGATTGGAGTCCACTAAAGCCTAGTGCTCAAACTGATTAACCTCCTCCTCTTTCAAGGGACTGCTTTTATTGTTGTGTATTCTTTTTACAATGATAGAAAAAGATGACCTTAAGAGGCTTTGTCCGTGATTGCAAGAAATAAGTAATTTCATCATATTAGCAATAGATATAAACAGTACACCTATTTTTTTTTTTTTTTGTGAGGAGGTCAGCCCTGTGCTAACATCTGCCAATCCTCCTCTTTTTTTGCTGAGGAAGACGGCCCTGGGCTAACATCTGTGCCCATCTTCCTCCACTTTATATGGGACGCCGCCACAGCATGGCTTGCCAAGCAGTGCGTCGGTGCGTGCCGGGGATCCGAACCAGCGAACCCCGGGCCGCCGCAGCGGAGCGCGTGCACTTAACCGCTTGTGCCACCGGGCCGGCCCCACAATACACCTATTGAAAATCAATCAAGTCAACATTAACACAGCCAACGCTGTATTTTGTGGATTCAAATAAAGAAAAGTCTACACCTGTCAGAATGGCTATAATTACCAAGACAAAAAAATAACGAATATTGGAGACAATGTGGAGAAAAGGGAACCTTCATACACTGCTGGTGGGAACGCAAACTGGTGCAGCCACTATGGAAAATAGTATGGAAATTTCTCAAAAAATTAAAAATAGAAATACCATACTATCCAGCTATCCCACTACTGGGTATTACCCAAAGAATTTGAAATCAACAATTCAAAGAGATTTATGCACCCCTATGTTCACTGCAGCATTATTCACAATAGCCAAGACATGGAAGCAACCCAAGTGCCCATCAACTGAAGAATGGATAAAGAAGATGTGGTGTACACACACACACACACACACACAAATGGAATACTACTCAGCCATAAAAAAGACAAAATTGTCCCATTTGTAACAACACGGATGGACCTTGAGGGTATGATGTTAAGCGAAATAAGCCAGAGAGAGAAAGACAAACACTGTATGATTTCACTCATATGTGGAAGATAAACAAACACATGGATAAGAGAACAGATTAGCGATTACCAGAGTCAAAAAGGGTTAGGGGCGGGCAAAAGGGGTAAAGGGGCACATGTGTATGGTGACGGATAAAAATTAGACTATCGGGGGCTGTCCTGGTGGCACAGTGGTTAAGTTTGTGTGCTCCGCTTCTGCAGCCTGGTGTTCGCGGGTTTGGACCCCAGGCAGGGACCTAGGCACCGCTTATCAAGCCATGTTTTGGTAGGCATCCCACATATAAAGTAGAGGAATATGGGCACGGATGTTAGCCTAGGGCCAGTCTTCCTCAGCAAAAAGAGAAGCATTGGCAAGAGATGTTAGCTCAGGGCTCATCTGCCTCACCAAAAAAAAATTAGAGTAATCATGGTGAGCATGATACAGTCTATACAGAAACTGATACATAATAACATACACCTGAAACTACACAATGTTATAAACCAATATGACCTCAATTAAACAATTGAAAAAAAAAAGAATATGCAATGTTGAAGTGTTTAGGGATAAAGTATACTGATGTCTATAACTTATTTTGAAAAGCATTAAAAAATTAAGCTAGATGGATGGGTAGATGGATAGACATGTGGTAAAGCAAATATTGGTGGGCATATGTACTATTCTCTCAACTCTCTGAGAATTTTCTTTTTTAAATTTTTTGTTTAGTGCAGTAACATTGGTTTATAACATTGTATAAATTTCAGGTGTACATCATTATACCTCTATTTCTGCATAGATTACATCATGTTCACCACCCAAATACTAATTACAACCCACCACCACACATGTGCCAAATTATCCCTTTCGCCCTCCTCCCCCCCCTTCCCCTCTAGTAACCACCAATCCAATCTCTGTCTCTATGTGTTTCTTTATTGTTGTTATCTACTACTTAATGAAGGAAATCATACGGTATTTGACCTTCTCCCTCTGACTTATTTCACTTTGCATAATACCCTCAATGTCCATCCATGTTGTCACAAATGGCTGGATTTCATCTTTTCTTATGGCTGAGTAGTATTCCATTGTGTATATATACCACATCTTCTTTATCCATTCGTCCCTTGATGGGCACTTAGGTTGCTTCCAAGTCTTGGCTATTGTGAATAATGCTGCAATGAACACAGGGGTGCACATATCTTTATGCATTGGTGTTTTCAAGTTCTTTGGATAAATACCCAGCAGTGGAATAGCTGGATCATATGGTAGTTCTATCCTTGATTTTTTGAGGAATCTCCATACTGTTTTCCATAGTGGCTGCACCAGTTTGCACTCCCACCAGCAGTGTATGAGAGTTCCCTTCTCTCCACATCCTCTCCAACACATGTTGTTTCCTGTCTTGTTAATTATAGCCATTCTGACGGGCATGAGGTGATATCTCATTGTAGTTTTGATTCGCATTTCCCTGATAGTTAATGATTTTGAATATCTTTTCACGTGCCTGTTGGCCATCTGTATATCTTCTTTGGAGAAATGTCTGTTCAGGTCTTTTGCCCATTTTTTAATTGGGTTGTTAGTTTTTTTGTTGTTGAGATGCATCAGTTCTTTGTATATTTTGGAGATTAAGCCCTTATCTGATAATTTTCATAATAAAATGTTGGGGGAAAAAAAACCAACAAATAAAGAAAATTCTTCCTGACTAAAACTCTCCCCACCTGCTGTAGGTCTTTCACAGTATTACACTTTTAGCAATTAGAAAAAAAATAACATAGTAAGAACACTGGCCGAATTAGTTAGCCTTGAAAAAGGTCAGTTGAATAAAAAAGAATAACAATTTCATCACTTAGTACTAATTCATTAATCCATATATCCATTTAAAAACACTGCAGTGTTTTTAAGGCATAGAAGACATAACATTTCTGTGGGACACTATTAATTCTAAAAAGTATCATTATTCAGAAATTCCTGCTACCCAGAATTTGCGAGACTTTTGTTCTGCCACTTGTATATCTGATGCAAGAATAGTTTACAAGTATATCTCAAAACTTGTAGGTATGGAAGGCAATGGAGGATCCCGGAGCTTGCTATGGCTTTGGGAATGTAGTGCCAAGCCAAGGTCCCCGCAGAATTCCTTTTCAGGCACACTGAAATCAAGGTATCTGGCATTCCCCAAAAGTTCAGGTACTCATGTTAAATGATCACTGTTCTGAGGACATGTCTAAGCGCTTCACCTCATGCAAATGTTGCTGCTGCCCCTGTTTAGCGCAAGTCACCCAGGGGCCCAGTGGCCCAGCTGTTCCCTAATTAATCACACTGGATTTGCTCCAAGACTCCCTCCCACTGCCGTGCCTCTGGGTTGGGAGCTCCCTCAGAACTGTGCCCAACTGCACAGCAGTCCTCTCCTAAGCATATTTTAGACAGAGGTTTCCTCTCTTTCTGTAATACCATCTACTTTCCATCTTTCAGAAAATTACTCAATTTCCAGCCTTCTGATAATATTCTTTCTTGTTGGAAATTGGTTTTGGTTTTGTTTTTGTTTTTTTGCTGAGGAAGATTCACCCTGCACTAATATCCGTTGCCAATCTTCCTCTTTTTTTGCTTGAAGATTAGCCCTGAGCTAACATCTGTGCCAATCTTCCTCTATTTTTCTATGTGGGTCGCCATCACAGCGTGACTGATGAGTGGTGTAGGTCCACGCCGGGATCCGAACCGTGAACCCTGGGCCACTGAAGCAGAGCGTGCTGAACTTAATCACTGTGGAATGGGGTGGTTCCCATTCGGGAATTCCCCAAATTCCACAGGGCCGTCACCTGGAATTTTTTATTATATTTTTTCATTCACTTTTAGAGATCTAAAGTAGAAGGGGAGGTAGGTAGGTGTACTTGGTCTGCCGTCTTGATCCAGTCTCTCTGGGCCACCGTTCTCCTGTTTTTATTTCTTACTAGTGTCCTGCCATTCCTAGATCCACAGATTAATTTTTATTATTTACTTTCCTGATGACATGTACGTTCGGGGCTCCCTGGCAAACAATGCCAACAGTGATATGCAGTCATGTTCTCCTGGGGTCCTAGACAACGGCTGTTGCATCAGTCTCTTCCTCCTCCTACTTTATAAGTGATTTCCCCTGTGAGTCTGGTGAATATGAATGAAGTCTCCAGAGGCTGGTCACCCCAAATCAAGAGACAGAATGTGAATTTTTGAATGTGCAAGTGGGAAGCAGTAAACTGTAGTAGTTAGAAACATGAGCTCAAATCCCAGTTCCCTTGGCAAGTTACTTAATCTCTGCAAGTCCTAGTTTCCTCATCTATAAAGTGGCCATATGAATTATCCCAGTACCTTAGGGTGGCTGTGAAGATTTTTGTGTTAGCAAATGGTAACAAATACTTATTAATAAGTTAATAAATGTTAGCTATTATAATTATTATTATCATGGTTGAAACCTAGTCTGGATCACAAAGATACAAGATGCAGTTTTCTCATGAGTGTTAGCCTGGAAGTCTTTAGTCCTTAGTAGAGCCTGGTTAAGGAAAGTAATATTTAGGGACTTCCCATCTGCCCGACTGCTATGGATGCCATAGCAGCATAGGAGGTATAAATGTCAATGAGCTTTGAGCTTCTTTATCTGAACAGCAAATGAAGTCAGGAGGCTACCGTGGTCATAGGATACACTGAGACAGCAGTTCAATTGTGATAGAATAAGAAATTAGGTAATGAAAAAGCAAATCATTCTTTAATTGGTGAGCACAGATGGTAACATATCCCTAAAAAACATGGGTAGGCTGTTGCTTGGACTTGCGGGTGTCAAGAAACGAGCAGATATTATTTCCTCATCACTTACCTCTAAGTTGCTGGAGTTCCATATTCAAACTCTCGATGTTACTCTCGTAGAACTCAAGATTCTCAAGGGTCTCTGCCCTTAATGATTCCTCTTGCTTCTCCTCCAGCATTAGGTTTAGCTCTTCCTGAGCCCTGCCATACATATCCAAGTCCTGTTCCATTTCCTGAATCCTCACCAATACTAAGGGACACGGGGAGGTCTGGTCTAAAGTCTCCTCCATATTCCCAGGGCTCTCCTTCTCCAAGGTCTCACAGCTAGGATGGTTACAGGGTAGGAGCTTGGAGGGTGTTGCGCTCATTCTCTGCTGTGCCGTCGGGGGCAGGGGAGCTGGGCGAGAGGGTCGCACTGCCAAGGGTGGTTCAGGTTTCAGGTTCTGGTCCACCAGCAAACGGGAAGAAGGGGATGCTGGAGTACAGGGACGGGGTGGTGGTGGCCTTAGGGCCTTTCTCCTCTCAGGCAGCTCCTGCTGCGTGATTAGCTTTGAGGAACCTCGGACAATATCCTTCTCGGAGTTAAAGTCCATGATTGAAAAGTGGCGCAAAATGTTATCTGCTTCTGTGCCGGGCCCTGACAAGCTCTTCTCAAACTCGATCAGCTGTTGTGTCAACTTAGAGTCCAGGTCAATGTTGCCGTCTCCCTGGGAAAGCGCCGTTGCTTCTACAGCGGGCTCCTTGTCTTGCAGACCAGGCTTCATCTCTGATCTCCCTGATGCAGAGCTAAAGCTGGAAGCATTTCCTTTGGATGTGTGGTGCTTTTTAGCACACCTTGCCATGCCCTGGAGCTGAGGCCTCAACTGGCTGGGTCTGACTACCCCAGAGGCTGAAAGAGAAGAGTCACTGTGAAGAGGACGCACGGGCTTCTGAATGGTTTTTGGCTGGGAGTACGTTCCTCTAGGAGGTAGGCTGGAGTAGTCTCTAGTCCTGGCTTCTAGAGGAACAAGGTCAGAGTACTGCTCTGAGCTTGTGTGGCTCCCTCCTACTGTAGAATAATACTGGTTTTCCTGCAATCTGGGATGAAAAGCTACCTGAGGTTGGGAGGAAACACCATTGACTACCTCTGAAGGATCCTTCATGGAAGAGTCTTCAGCAAGAAGCTCTTCGTGCCCCACACCTGGGCTTCGCTGGGGACCTCCTGAGGTGCCCTCATCCCAATAAGAGTTTTTGTTTACTTCATACTCAGAAGCCAGATGATCTGGGGGAGAAGTGGATGTTTCAGAAATAACACAGTTGGACTCCTCTGCTTCACACTCACTAGACTCATGTCCTTTTTCCTCCGCTACTGAGGAGTTCTCTGAATAATCCAAAGAAGTTTCGGGGATGCCTTCCTGTGGCAGATCCATGGTTTCCTCCACTGTTGTTTCAGGACATAACTTCACAAACCGATAAGGAAAGATGCCTGTCCTGCCCTTCAGGGATCCTTCTAGCCAGCCATCTTCTAGAGTCCCCAGAATTCGGATTTTATCGCCTACCTCAAAATCCAGCTCATTCGGTTCCAGGGCTTGGAATCTGTAGAGGGCAATTCCATAGGTCCCTGGCTGCTCGTCGTCCTCTTCCGGCCCTCCTTCTTCTTCTCCTGTAGGGGTATCTACTTCACCATTAATAACGCAGTCATCATGATTTCCAGAACTCACCGACTCATCCACAGTCCTCAGGGGACCCAAAAGTTCTACAAAACCTTCTGGAAAAATGCCTCTTCGACCCTCTAACTCCCCTTCAAACCAGCCTGGTTCAGGAACTCCAATAATGGTGATCACATCCCCTTCTCTGAAGTCCAGCTCCTCATCCAGCTGGGCAGAAAGCCCCATCAGCGCCCGGGCTTGTCCCATGGAATATTCAGGAATCTGGAGCAGGGCACTCTGTGAGTGCCAGTGCCGGCTTTGTGAAGACAGGCTGAGCTCCCGAACACACGAGGATGGGAAGAAGCCCCGGGCACCCCAGCAGCTTCGGCCCTGCAGCCAGCCAGCCGTGACAGCGCCATCAAGAATCACTAGGTCGCCTAAAGAAAGAGAAGCAAAGATAATGACCTCCGTCATCACCCCAGCAGAATATTACTATTACTAACAGTGGAACTCATCATTTTAAACATCTATCAAATTCAAGGAAATATACACCTAGAGTTTTAAGGGCATGAACACTTTTGACAATTTAGTGACAATCTAGTAAATTTTGACAATTTAGTGAAAATATAGTGAACATTCCTGTAAACCAATGGTTTTCAAAGTGTGGTCCATGGAACCCCTGGGGTGGGTCCCCAAGATTTTTTTCAGAAGGTCTGTGAGGTCAAAACTATCATATTTTCTTCATATACTTCAGCAAAAACAACATATCACAGCAGACTGAATATAGACGCAAATATAAGAATCTAGCTCTCTTCTACTAAACCAAATATTAAAGAGATTTGCAAAAATGTAAACCAGTTACTCTTCTAACTTTTTTCATTTAGAAAACTAGTTATTTTTCACAGAAATATGTTATTTATGTTAATATATAATGAGTTTTTAAAAATGAATTAGTAAATATTTTTTAAATTTCTCAGTTTTGGTAGCTAATATGGTAAATATCAATAGACCCACATAAGCAAGAGCTCTTTAAGGATCTCAATAACTTTTAAGAGTGTAAAGGGATTCTAAGATCAAAAAGTTTGAGAAATGCTACTATAAACAACGTTCTTCAAGTCTGTGCCACTGATTAGCTTATAAACGATAAAGAATACATTCATGACCACTACAGTCCTTTGAATAGATGGATCGAATTTCTCACACTAAATTTTATTCAATATCAAATATGGAACAAAGGAAGAAGTCTTCAGGAATGGGTTCTTTGCTGGAGATACAGGGTGTGGACAATAAGCTCTTCCTTTATTTTCTCCAGAGGCCTTCTTGAACTATCTTTACCCTGAAAATACAACATAATCCAATCTTAAAAGAATGTTCTAATAATCAGCACTTTTGTTTTTGAAAATAACCAACAGTTCCAGTCCTGGTGTTTCAGGTTATCTTCACAAAACATAAGCTGAACAGTCAGCATCCGTCTTACTGTTGAAGGAGTTGAGGTAAAGAAAGGATAGGGCACACTGTTTGTTTCTGGAAAAAATAAAGTTAAAATCAGTCTTATAGGATTTGCCTCAGTTAAAAAATTACTCTATAGTTTTGTAATAACTTATTTTATAACAAACTCTTAATTATCTGATTATGAACTATGCATTTTGTGGATTATTAGTTTTAATCTTTTTTTTAACTTTTCTCTTACTTGACGCCTAAGACATCTGTACTTTCACGAGTAGATGCAATCAAGAAATGTGGTGCAACCAGCCCACATAAAATAAGGTCAGGATAGCAAAGTATCCAGCAAAATCATATGAGTCATTTTACAGTCACGCATATTTGAACACTGGCTTATCTTTTAAGGTATCAACACATATTCTCTTGATTTTTAAAAAATTAAGCCTGCCCTACCTGACTTAGTGAATTATATACTCCTTCATTTCAGGTACCACTTCTCCTTTGTATTTTAAGAGTTTGGTACAATCCCTTTCACACAGCAAGCACTTAAGGTCCATTTGCTAATGATGATGATTCTTCAACTCCAAGTTCCAAATTAATTAATTACATCTTCCCTCCCAAACTAGCTCCATACTGCTAACTTCCCTTTTTCCTCTAATTTGTTCTTTCAAAATAGTCATTCCATTCATTACTTGCTCTTTGCTACCACCCTAGTCCAACTCCCATCATCTCACTCTTTTAAACCTTGCCCCCAGACGTCGTCTCTTCCAGTCTACTAAATGATTCATGCCAAATGAAGATTATAAATGTAGCAATTTTATCATGTCCCTCCTCTGCTCAAACTTTTACCACGAGGCATGAAGGCTTCTTTCTACAGCTAAAGGCTTCTTGTCTAATAATCCTATTCTTATTACCTGAAATATATAGAAAATAAGTTTGCTCTGGATATTCTCTAAAGAGGTTTACTTACTAAGCTACCAAAAGGCTATTCTCATGTTTTCACCCCAATGCAACCTGGCATTCATATGCAGTCATGATGCCCCCCCAGGCCCTCACTCCCAGCTGTGCAATATTATCTCGCCTATGAGACCCTATTCCACACAAGGGGATTTTCATCATCTCCTATACAAGCCTCTCCATCTGAAACCTTGGCATACTTCTCTAAAAAACCTTAGAAGCCCACATTCATCTTGGTCATCTGTAGTCTACTAAAGAAACGATTGCTTAAATCACTAATTTTGACACGTATTTTTATATACTCCACAGCACCTAATGTAAGATTCTGTACTTGGTGGTAGGCACTCAACACATTTTCACTGATTTGATACTGTTTTGCTTAGATGTTCTTAAAAAATAGGGTCTTGGTCCTATATTTCTGTATTCCTTTAATTTATGATTCAGTATCCATTGGTCAGAGCTTGGGGTCCTGAGAATTACGAGTGATTTTTTTTCCCACTAGCTCTGAGGCCATTTCATCACTGCCACAGAAGGAACTCACTGGAGACATGGCTACTGTTCAGACACAATAGGCCTTTCGGTGAATAAAGAGAATGAAAGCGTGCCATAACTCCCACTCTACTGGCTTTGAAATGAACTGGCTTTCTTAAAGCTGCAGAATTACAATATTTTCCTTGTTTTGCCAGATCTCTACGAAACCCTTATAATAGGGCTTGTTTTCCTATCAGTTTTCAGCTGGGTGACTGTTTTGATAAGCTTTATTACCTGGCAGACTGTCACTCTGTTGGTTATTTTTATATAATAAAAGTGAATTTTTTAAAAATCACAATTTAGACTCTGAAAAGCACTTCAGAGATAATTTTGTTCAACACCATTATTTTATAGCTCTGTTACTGGGTTTTTTGCATGAGTCTCTCATTTTCATCATTCCCATGGCATCCTGGGTGATTACTTAGGAATGGAGGCTACCCAGCGGTCATTTCCAGACTGCTGAAACAACAATATGAGGAACCTCCGGAATAGAGTGACCAGATTTTGAGAACAGAAAAATAGGAAGCGTGGTGACCCTTAGGGTCAGCCTGAGCCTTTTGATCATACACAATTAATACCAGCCGCCACACTGCTTGTTTCTTCTTGTTGGATTTTTTTAGTCAACAAGAAATGCATTAGGAATAAGATGATAAGAATGAATGCAAGTCTTCTTAGAATCTGAATATAAGTAGTCTGATTCTGCACTATTAGGTCCCTCATTGAATCCTAATGCCCAGGGGACTATGTGCATTATGCAGACTGACCACATATTCTTAGATTTCCATATGAACCATATCAGAACCTTAATTCTGATATCTCACACACATGGCATCACAAATCTTTGACACAAGTGCTTTGACTGATAAATATCATTTATCAATTTATTTTTCATTGGTCTTTTTTTGGGGTAGGGAGGTAGCCTAGAAACATGAGGTTCTAGGCAAGGGATGTACATTCTGTGCTACATAAGGCAATATTAGAAACTTTTCATCACTCCCACTAATTTTTTTTCTTTCTTCTTTCTCTGTCTTTTCCGTGTCATATTCTTGTTTTGATTTTGTTTTTCGTTATTTCTCTCTCTCTTCTCCCCACTCTTAATTTTTTAGGACAGTCAGTGGCCCTGGCCTCCTGCATTGATCCTTCTAAGAGATAACTTTGTTTCTGAGTTTAAACATAATTCAAAATACGGGGAACAGTCCAAAACAACTGGATAGCTTTGGGAAAAGGAGAAAGGGTAACACCTGCAGGAAGAACCAACGGTGGTTCTGATCCAGCTAGAATCTCCCTGGAACACCGTACATACACACAAAACTGCATGTGATTATCAGGAAACAAGGTCCCTGAAGCACATCTACGAACTCCAGGAATCCCAGGTTAAGAATAATAAAAATAGCCAGTCTTTACTGAGTGCTTACCTTGCACCAGATGCCTTAGATGTGTAACCTCATTTAATCCTCAAAACTACCCCAAGGTAGGTGTTATTATCCTCATTTTGTAGATAAGGAAACTGAGGCTGGGAGAACTTAAGTAACCAACCCAAGTCACAGCTATTGAGTATGGAGTTGCATTTAAATCTAGGGCCGTCAGAATTCTTATCCCCTAAGCTATATTGCCTGCTCTAAATATATATATATTTTATAATATAATTTTGTAATTAAAAATACATAATTTTTTCTCTTATTAATCCCAATGATATTTGTGAAAGGTAAGTAAACAAAAGTTAACTAAAGGCAGCATGGTAAAGCAAAACAGATCTCAAACATTATCCCACATGCTCTTAAGGTTTCCAAATCCCCTCCTGACATATATTAAATCACCCAGGTTTCATTCACACAGAACAGGAGAAGCTTCACTCCACACTGAAGGTACTAAGGAAAAATAAAGAAACAACAGGGAACAGGATTAACAGTGCTACAGGACAGGATAAAGGAAACGTACTACTCCTAAGCTGAGACACTGATCTAATGGAAAAAAACAATTTCAATCTAAGAAGCAGAAGGGCCATCCCAAACACTAGACTTGAAAATCTGGAAGCTTAGACTCGAGTGTTATAAACTGTATGTGGTAGAAAACAATACTTTCATTTTTTAGTGATTTTGTTTCCAACTAGTAAAATTAATACCTATTAATGTGGACTGTCATGTATATAAAACAAAAGGAATTAAAATCATTTCTGTGTCTCATGCTAAACTTCCCAGAAAAAGACAAATTGCGTAGTTATTCCTAACTTCCCCATCCTCAAAGACTTGTGTTTTGTTTTTGTTTTTTAATTTTATTTATTTATTTATTTTTTCCCCCAAAGCCCCAGTAGAAAGTTGTATGTCATGGTTGCACATCCTTCTAGTTGCTGTATGAGGGACGTGGCCTCAGCATGGCCGGAGAAGTGGTGTGTCGGTGCGCACCCAGGATCCGAACCCCGGCCGCCAGCAGCAGAGCGCCCGCACTTAACTGCTAAGCCACGGGGCCGGCCCAAAGACTTGTGTTTTCAAATCGCAAGACATATGGGCTACAAGAGATGTGAAAAGCAAAAAAGGAAAGAGAGCTGAATAGTCATTATGTTTAATGGCAGTAGAGTATCAGAGAAGAGAACAAGATAAAACCACTGATAATTAGTATATCTCTTTCTAGTCTCTCTTTTCCTATGTATCCCCCTGCCCTGCATCCTCCTCCTTTGGGCTCCACTTACATCTTCAAGCTCATTCGAGTTGATTGGTTAAAAGCTAGTCAAGATAAGATCTACAGATTCCAGGACCCAGCCTCACCTTGAGTCAGTCTTGGTACAGGTGACTCAGGGCTGAAAGGTCCACCAGGGTCGAATCTCTTAGGTGGCCCTGGGATTTCTGACATGGATTTTAACTTTAAAGCAAGTTCAGAATACCTTAGACTAGTCTTCCCAAGGAAGGGACTCAGCAGAAAATCTCTCTCTTTTTAGTACCTAAGGCTTGACTACACAAGATGTAATTATGAAGCAAAAAAGCTAATTCCAGAAGCCACATCCTCAAATTCCCCAAATGCTGTAGACATACTGCATATTCCCACATAGTATATTCTTACACCCACTATTTGCTCCAGGAACCAGGTGTAGGAAAGAACAAGTCCATGCCATGCACATCCTCTGCACAGCACTGGTGGAAGCCACTGTGCTCTGGCCCTTTCTCCACTCTCTCTGGCTGGACTGATGTGGACTACAGGCCTCCAATGGGAGAGCTGGGAGTAGGGACAGACAAGGTTCCCTGCTATAACATCTTGATCTGTTTCTGTCTGCCCTCCCAACACTGATTAGCAAGAAAGGATACAGAACAGAGGTAGAGGCTGAGTGTAAAGTGAAGTGCAAGAAACTTACTTGCATAGATTTTGAGGATTAAGATCAAAATTTTTCTTTCTTTTCGGGTTAGGGAAGTTTGCTAGGTTTCTCCCTCTCCCCGGCTCTGCTCTCTTTCTCTCTCTCATATGTGTACATGGTTTAAGAAATTAAGCCTATCCTTTTAGTGCCATCCTCAAAAGAGCACGTAACAAAATTAATGACATATCTAATAAGTTCTACCATTTTGCTGACTGTTCTGAGTCATCACAAAATTGGACTACATAAGCCTCAGTTTGCAGAAAACTACTGGTTTCAGTGCTTATGCAGAAATGTATGGACTTAATCAAGTACACTTGTAGAAATGGTTTAAAAGTTCATACGTCTATCAGAGTGCAAGAACTGAGAAATACTCGGAAAGTCACTGAGATTTGGCTGTGACTATCTGTTTTAAACTGCTTCCTTTTAAACTGGTTCTGATGAGAACTTTTAACAATATCTAATGGTACAGTAGTAAAATGGGGCTGTTTTGCATCTGTCTCTTAATTTCCATACCACAATTCCTGCTCTACTATTACACATTAATAAATAGTAATGTTGTTAGCAAAACCATATCAGTTTTTATGGGAAAAAAGGATAAATATAGTCTGAAGTGTGGCTCCAGCATGGGGCAGTGGAAAGAGAAGACTGGACAGAGGATCAGGTGATATGAGTCCACACTCTCAGGCCAAAACTTCTCCTCCACACATAATATTCTTTGAATCTCATTTTCATTATTTATAAAATGCACTTAATAATAATACTCACTTGGTTGCCTCCAGGTCTGTGTTGAGGATCAAATGGAATGTATTTGTGAGAAAATACTGTAGAAATTATAAAAATGCTACTAAAATATAAGGCATTATATTGTCAGCATTATTTTGGCATTGCTGAAGGCTTTCTAGAGGTTAGCCACTTACAAAAATTCAAAAAAAGACCTAGTTGTCAAAATTGGCTGACTCCACCAATCTTATTTGAAACAGTCTACTTTTGGATGATCCACTTACCTCGATGAAGGGGGAGATTGTTCAATTCTTGGGATGTAAATTCACAGATACAGACAAACAGCCTCTCTCCCTCTTTTAGACTGGGAATGGTCACAATTTCCACAAAACTGCTGGGAAACTGTCCTGAAAATACAAGCAAACATTTCCAATGTTGAAATTTCTTTTTCTCTCTGTGCACCAGGACAAAAAACTTTTTTTCTGAGCCCATTTCTAGACACTGAATTGAAAACTCACTGAGTACGTACTCATAATTTAGAGACTCTATTATAGAAAAAGTGCAGTGCACAAAATTAGATGCATGCAGAACACAGAGAATGCAATTCAATCCAGTAAGCATTTACTGGGTGCTACTCTAGGCAAGGTGCACTCAGAGCGGAAAATGAGTAAGACAGTCTTGGACCTCAGAGACCTTAAAATCTAGCTCAGACGTAAAATCTAATTCCAACATAAGTAATAATTCAATTGTGAAATCAAGTATCACAGTACAGTTACACACGTTGCCATGTAAGTTCAGAGAAGGAAGAGAATGGGTCAGGAAGAATATGAAAAATTTTATGAAAAAGATTGCATTTGAGTTTGAAGACAGGTAAAGGTTTTAATAGGTAGTAGTAGACAGCCAGGGCCTGCCAGTTGGAAAGCATAAGAAAGTTTGATTGATTCCACCTTCTAAATTTCTCTCGCATCTGTCCACTCATCTCCAGACCCACCATCTTGGTCCAAGCTATCAGCACCTCTCACTGGATTACTGCAACAGCCTCCCATCCTGCCTCCCTGCCTGCAGTTTTGCCCCTTCCTATCATTCTTCAATCTACAGCAGTGAGCTTTCTAAAATACAAATCTGTTTGTACTTTTATGGTTTCCCATTTCCTTAACTCCCTCCCATGGCATACTCTGTCCTCTGTGACCCAGCTTCTGCTCATCTCCCCAGCACCATCTCCCCCTCCTCAACCATCCATGCCCAACTGAACTTTTCTCAGTCCTTCCATGTTCTTTGTCTCTCACTCCAGGGCCTCTGAGCAAGCCTATCTTCTTTGCTTTGCTAACTCCTACTCATTTTTTTCTCAGCTGAGATATCATTTCTACTGGGAAATAATCTATTATCTCCCAAATGTGAGTTAAGTGTCAACAGAGTCTGTTCTAAGGACTGTATAACATACTGCAGCCCAGACTTACATAAATATACATAAGTTAAGGACTGGATTTAACATAGGTACATAGTGTGAGGGAAAAACTTCCACCCCCCGCAAGCTAATTAATGAAAGGAATTGGTGCTAACATATATTTTAAAGAATAGAAGGAAGGAAACCAGGTGCATCCAGGGTAGAGGGCAGCTTTAACAAATTTGGGCCAATCATGGATCCAGGAAGGAGCGCACAGGATGCATCATGCTCCCTTGAAAAGAATGAAAGAAAGGGTGGAAAATGCTAAAAGAAGACAGCCAGAGAAAACAAGGTGCAGAGTGACTTATGTTCCATAAAAACTGGTAGTGAAAAGCAGTGGTAAACAACAGGGATTCTGAAAAGAGGAGTAATGCATATTTTCAGAAGAGAAATAACGCTGAATACAAAGGATAAAGACCTGGGTAGGGAAGGGAGGCATATGAATAGAAAACTGGGCTGGATGGAATGATAACAGACATCCTCTCCTCGCTGTAGAGACCACAGTATGAATACATATGGAAAACACAAAAGGATTCTGAACTTTGTTGACTTCTGTTTCCCATTCAACCTTTATTTTTAACATGGAAAGAATGGAGGGTCCATTTTGTGCATGAGGAATTATGAGCCTCTTACCTGTCACATCCTCTTTCTTTCCTAGAAGCCAAAATTCATCCACCACTGCCAACACTTCAATAATATCTCCCACAAAGAGCGGCAGCTCTTCTGATACACTCGGGCAGAAGTCAAAGATGGCTCGAACCACGGAGCCAGCCTCCATGTTTTATAACCTGGAAAGAAAGGTCAAAAGAAACAGGAAAGCACAAATATTTAAGACATTATAGTATAGACCTATATCTTGAGAATGATAAAGCTTAAGATCTAAAGATACTTAAAATCAAGTCAAGGCTAAGCAAATAAGAAGTTTGTACTCTATACTTAAAAAAAAAAAATCAAACTACTATCTCATTTACTTCTTTAAAAATAGTAATTTCCTCATACATCTTTCATTTGATTCTCAAAGTCATTCTGGAAGTGAAAAAAAAGAAAAGCGACCTATACCTGTGAGTGACAGAAAAGACGCAAGTTGGGAAATGTAGACTTTTCAATATGCCTGAAGAGGGCAATAAGGAAATTAACATTTTTAAAGTACCAGGCAACATGGTACTTTTAAAATATGGTATTTAGGGGCCGGCCCCGTGGCTTAGCGGTTAAGTGCACGCACTCCGCTACTGGCAGCCCGGGTTCGGATCCCGGGCACGCACCGACGCACCGCTTGTCCGGCCACGCTGAGGTGGTGTCCCACATACAGCAACTACCAGGATGTGCAACTACAACATACAACTATCTACTGGGGCTTTGGGGAGAAAAAGGGAGGAAAAAAAAAGGGAGGAGGATTGGCAACAGATGTTAGCTCAGGGCCGGTCTTCCTCAGCAAAAAAAGAGGAGGACTGGGCTGGCCCCATGGCCAGTGCGTGCGCTCCGCTGCTGGAGGCCCAGGTTCAGATCCCAGGTGCACACCGATGCACCGCTTTTCCAGCCATGCTGAGGCCAAGTCCCACATACAGCAACTAGAAGGATGTGCAGCTATGACACACAACTATCTACTGGGGCTTTGGGGGAAAAAAATAAATAAATAAAAATTATTAAAAAAAAAAAGCAAGAGCTAGATTAAGATGGAACGCTAAAAAATATTTAAAAAAAAAAAAAAGAGGAGGACTGGCACGGATGTTAGCTCAGGGCTGATCTTCCTCAAAAAAAAAATTTTTTTTAAATATGGTATTTAAAAAGTAGGCATTTTAAATATGGCATTTCATTTATTCTTCATAACCATCTTAAAGATTAGGATACCGAGGCTCAGCAAGTTAGAAACTTAATTTGTGCAAGATCACACAGTTCAAAGCAGCAGGGCCAGGATTCAGACCGAGGGCATTCTGGCTGCTACCTACGGAGACTGGGTCTGCAAAAAAAGTAACACGACCTAAAGAACAGCAGCAGGACTGTGCCTCAGTGGCCGAGATTTAAAACGTACTGAAAATAAAAATCCATAAAAAGAACAAGAAAGGGCTACATAGATTGCGCCTCCAGACAAGATTTAGTATGCTACACCAGATCAGGTATGTGTTTTTGGTTCAAAGAAGCCTATGGCCCAACCTTGCCGAGTATCCTTGCACTGTTACAGCGTCTGTGCTGTAATAAGGTGATGTGTCCGTTATCTTGACACGTGTGGCCGAGGAGCCTAAGCATGTGCTTAATCAATAGAAAGGGAGGAAATGAATGGCGTGCATATGCCTACCTGTAAACCATCAGCCATGACTAGCTACATTTCTCCCTAGTCTTTTACAAGGAGCAGCTGAAGATCCCCAGTGTCCGGACCCCAAGTCTATTCTTCCTTATTTACCTCAAGTACTCGTTTGGTGTTGGTAGAGATGAGGACTCTAACTTTCATCTCACACATAACTATAATCACATCAAAAAAGCACTAAGTGCCCAATTACAAAAAAAAAGATAGTTAAAGCTCTGTTACTTTTTTTTTTTTAATTTTTATTTATTTATTTATTTCCCTCCAAAGCCCCAGCGGATAGTTGTATGTCATAGCTGCACATCCTTCTAGTTGCTGTATGTGGGACGCGGCCTCAGCATGGCCGGAGAAGCGGTGGGTTGGTGCGCACCCGGGATCCGAACCCCGGGCCGCCAGCAGCGGAGCCCGCGCACTCAACCGCTAAGCCACAGGGCCGGCCAGCTCTGTTAAGTTTATAATCTAAGAAAACAATGTGGATAAACATGTCAGGCATATAATAAATAGTTCAGTATGTCAATGTGGAGTACCTATAAGAGTTTAATGAATCATGTAACACAATTAAACATTACATATTTAATTTGCACTACTGACTAAAAGGAGCTGATCTTTATGTTACTGAATTTTTTTTCTATAATGAGATGACTTCAGTCCACAGTGGAAAAGAGAAGTGGCCAGTAATATTCCCCACATCCTCTGCCCTCACCTACCACATATTTAAGTATTAAAAAGAATATAATTGTAGCAATCGCTCGCTGAGGAGGCAGCACACCGTGAATGCAAAGCATTAGACTCCTAGAGTCAGAGAGACTAAGGTTCAAGTCCCAGCTCCACTATTTATTAGCTATTTCACCTTGGACATATTACTTAAATTCTCTGGGCTTCAGTCTCTTTGTTCAGAACAATGGAGATAATAATACTTTCATATTGATCATCAAAAGGATGATAATGAAAAAAATAATGATAATTCCTAATATTTATTGAGCACTTATATGTGCCATGCACACTATGCCCTTCCCTCACTGAGTCCTCACAACAACTCGATCGTATATTATTGTTCCTATTTTGCAGGTTTAGGACACAGGCTCAGAGAGGTGACGTAATCTGTCCAAGGTCACACAGTAAGTCAGAGATGGAATGGGAACCCAGATCTGTCTGTCTCCAAAGCCTTAACCAGCATGCTAATAGTATGAAAGCACCTAGGACAGGACTGCTACAGTAGGTACACAATAAATGTTAGCAGTTATTACAAAACATTATTTTCACAATTAGCTACAAGCTCAAATCTGTGTTACCGATGTAGCATCACCAGAGAATGTGCTATTTCAAGCATATAAACACTACAGAATGTACCATTTCAACTTGCCAAAACTCGATTAATTTTGACCATGTTTAAAAATAGACACATTATATACCTCCCTGCCTTCTTCAGGGGAAGACACTGGAAGGGATTTACTCTTTGGTTGATGGACCCAAGTTCATTATTAAGACGATACATTAGTGTACTGTGTTGTAACACATCATATACAGTACTGTGTAACTTTCAGGTCTCTCTCTTTTTGATGTCAGCCTTCCCTCTGCTATCAGTTTATCCCTCTGCCAACTTTTCTACCCTCTTTCTAGATGGTTGTTTTTTAATCTGCTGGGGAGGGGGGACCACACATACACCACCAAAATTGTTAAAAGTTCCCTCAGAAATAAAAAGTGAACAAGCCCTAAATGAGAGGCAAACAAACTCTTCTGTGGTGGTAAAGTACATGTGTAAGTGCGAGAGTTTTCCAACCGTTATTTTTTATGTGCTCTGAGGCCCCTTTCTTATTTTTGGGCTGCCTGCCAGAGGGCTGAAGTTGCCAGATGTCAGACTTCCGCAAACGGGTGGTGTCATAAATATTTTTTTTCCTAAAACAAACAACATTTTGCAAACCTCTTAGCCATCTACACGTTATTAAAATAACTCCTCAAGGTTGGGCCAAGGTGGATATTATTTTCCTTCTTATACTACATTTTCCTAAACTTCATCTCACTATCAGACTCAATATATACCCCATTATCTAAAATATCAAGTAAAGAATTAGCATAGTCCCCCTAGGATGACTTAAGAGAGCTACCTATTACACTGAGGAGTGACTTGTGTGACCTGAAGGAGTTCAACTTTCTCCCTGAGAACCTTTTTTGCTCTAGCAGAAAATGACTCAGAAGCAGAGGAGGGTCTGGCGCAGTAAATACTTTTAGTGACTGACCTCTGGCCCTATTGGAATGAGTGTGTAATCGCTGAGGAATACACATCCTGGAAGGGTGCTGGAGTCAGAGTCTGGCTAAATTACAGGATTCATGCATGAGACCAGAAAGGAGATCTTAGTGTCCTCTGTTTGACGTGGAATAGCATGAATTTCATCTCAGTCTTCTCTGCTCTGTATACACAGGAAAAGCAACTATTATTGTTGCTGTCTGGGCTATTTTAGAGGCCTAGACATATATTTTGAAACTTAATCATAAATAGCTTATATAAGCTGTTCCTCCAACTCCAGATGGAAGTACAAAGAACTGGGGAGGAAACCAGAACACAGATGGGCTCGAGAGAAAGCAGAGGAAATACTGCCTGTATGGCATGTCAGGGACATGGGAAAAGAGCTGTGAAAACACCACCTTCTTTTCTCGCTGGTAAACAGCTGCACTTCCACCTGTGAGGAGTCATTCTGCATTTGAGATGTAAAGGTCCTTAATTCTTCAAACATTTTTAGAACTATAACCCTATGAGGAAAGAGACTTCTGTCTGTTTTGTTTGCTGGTCTAGAGCAGTGCTCAGCACATAAAACGCTCTCACATTTTTAGTGGGCAAATGAGTTCCCGAACTTTAGGAAAATATAGCAAATTGTTCATATCAAAATCTCCACTTCTACTTATCTAAAACAAAATTAACCACCTCTTTTCCACAAACGGTTTTACCTTCCAGCTTGTGTAACAGTGTCATATAAATCTTCCAGATCAAACATTATTATCTCGGACTTCTTCATCCCCTACAGCCCATGGTACACTAATAGCGACAACTACCATTTGAAAATCCACCATGGGGCCGGCCCCGTGGCATAGCGGTTAAGTGCGCGCGCTCCGCTGCCGGCAGCCTCGGTTCAGATCCCGGGCGCACACGGACGCACCGCCTGTCAGGCCATGCTGTGGCAGCGTCCTATATCAAGTGGAGGAAGAGGGGCACAGACGTTAGCCCAGGGCCATTCTTCTTCAGCAAAAAAAGAGGAGGATTGGCATGGATGTTAGCTCAGGGCTGATCTTCCTCACACACACACACAAAAAAAGGAAATCCATCACGTGCCAGATACTGAGCTAGAAGCTTGAATCATACTGCACTGCAAGATAGACAGCAAGGCTCTAGAGCCAGGGTACATGGGTTCAAATCCTAGCGCCACCACTGAGCAATACATTTAAACTCTCTAGTGCATAAGTAGCTAAGCCAGAACCAGAATTCA